CAATGGGTCTCGCTCCTTATCCGATCCGACTAGCGGTACCCTTTTCTTTTTTCCTTTTTCCTTTTTCCTTTTTTTTTTTTTTTTTTTCAAACTTCTACGCTGCTCAAAACTATTTTTGAAAATACATATTTTTAATCGACAGTAAGAGGATTCAACGAGATGGTAACGAGCATTCCGCGTTCGATGTGTTTTATACATTGCCCGCGTTCTTTGCATTTTTTTCGCCCTTGAATTTCTCAAAAATGTATAACCATCTGCACTCGGCCATCGAGCCGATAAAATTATATCGCCGTCCGTCTATCGATATAAACGAATCGATTCTCACCGTGTCTCGTCTCACGCTGGCGAGAAGTCGCAGAAATCGCACGGAGAAGAGGCAATTAATTTCTCGGAAAAGCCAAACGAGGAAGAGAAGCCGGATCGGTGCTCGCGATGATGGACACGGACCTCGAGGAAAAGTTGAATCGACCGTCCGTGGCCGAGGTAGGGGGTGAAACGCGCGCGGGGCTGTTGGGTCATCGCGGCAAATCCTCTTGGAGGAAAATTTACGCGAGCCAGGCTGTGTGTGGTTGGCCGCCGCGGTATCGGCGTGTAGAATGACCGGTGAATACACGAGGGATCGGAGTCCCGATTCGCGTTCAGTCCGGCGTGAAACGCATTCGCGGCGAATGAGAATCCCTGGCCGTGGTGGTAGGAGGAAGCCGATGCACGCCCGAGGAATCCGAAAGCGGACGGATGGATACGATCCTGGCGAATCCCGAATCCTCCTCAATATTGCTCGAGCACTCAATTTCCTCCCTATTAAGCCGCCGGCTTCTCTGCCGGCGTTCTCTCTCCTCTTCTCTCTCTCTCTATCTATCTATCTCTCACTCTCTCAGTTCCACTCGTCTTGGATCGCGCGCGCTCATCCACCCCGCCTCCCTTATCTGCAACCCCTTTCCTCCACCTCTTCTCTCTCTCTCTCTCTCTCTTTCTCTCTCTCTCTCTCTCTCGTGTACATAGCCCATCTTCCACCGCTTCACCCCTTCGAGGTCTTATCCAGAGTCTTCCTGCCTGGTTTCCAAGCCGGATAGGTTATAGTGTTACGGCGCACGAGCACCGACTAATCAGCATTCCTGCTACCCAACTGCCTTCGAAACCTCCCTCCGTCCCTCGACCAACCCCTAGATTTTCCCTCCCTCTCCCTCTCTCTCTCTCTCTCTCTCTCTCTCTTTCTCTCTCTCAACTCTCCGGCCATAGAAACTTCCACGGATCCGCGGCGTTGTCGGGCTACGTGCGGCAAATCCTTAGCAGAATCCCTGGATTCCGCGCGCTTTAAATCGCTTCTCTCCTCCTCTCTGTCTATCCATCTCTCTATCTTGGCGTTTCTTCGTCGTCTTTGTTTCTTTTTCTTCGCCGGTACTGATTCTTCTTCAAGTGGCTGTTCTTATTCTCTCTCTCTCTCTTTCTTTCTCTTTCTCTTTGTGTGTGTCTTTTTTTCTTGCGTTCTCGGATCCGTTTCTCGTCGTTCCTCAACACTGCAAAGTCTCGAATCCTTCGAGATCGGAGGAAGAACCGCGAGATTCGCTCGCGTGCGTGCTCCGTCTCGTGCGAAATTACCAGTTGCAAAGTCGAGAGAATGTTCTCTGGAGTATGTTGCCATGATTATTAATTGAATGGAAATGTTATTACGTACAATTACACAGGATGGACCGAGAGTTTCTTCCCATCTATTTTTTTTCTTTTTTTCTTTGTTTTAATAAAATATAAAAATAGATAAGAGAAAAAGTAATTTTATTTTTAAGTTCAAACGTAATTTTAAAAAATTATTTCCTTCAAATATTTACCAGAGCGTTCGCAAATTTGTGCTCTTTTTAACGCGTTTTCCATTACTAATTGTAAGTTCATGTTGCTGTTAGTTCGACTCGAATGTTATCTCTTAATTCTACTCAATTTTGTGGCTTATTATTAACGTAAGCCTTATCTTTTAAATAGCTCCAAGGAAAAAAAATTGGAATTATTTTTACCAATTATTCAAATAATTGAATATGAAAATCTATATTTTTGCGTTAACGATGGATCAGTTTCTTTTTTATCAACAGGATTTCATGGTATTCATGTTTTATACATATTCAGGGATTATCAAAAAATATTTAGGGATTTTGTTTCAGTTTGGTAGTGAAATTTCTCTGTACCGAAAAATACTGTCAGCTTCCTGTTTCCAAAACAATTACGTTCCATAGCGTACTCCATTTATCGACCCTTATCAAATTATCATTCGACAATTATTAGTTTCACTCAGCAAGATCCTTATCGCCATTCTTACAATGTTCCACGGCTATTATCAGCGAAAAAAGAAGAACGTAACCAGCTCTCGATCGATCCAACACTCGTCCACTATCTAAACAACGCATTTACGCGTGGAAATGTTCATTATCGTCGAGTCATCGTCAATTACCGATCGCCAGAATATTTTCTACTATCTGTCACCGCTATCTTCATCGTATCGCGCGATAAGCCAAACCTGTTTTATTGCCATTGTTACAATCTACAAACTCGCCCTGATCATTCTTAGATAATTCATCGTATGATCATCATATAATCAATTCATAGAATTCTTTGTCGTTCGCTTTATCTTCGTTTCATTTTGTCAAAAATGAAACGAAGCACAGTTTAATAAAGAATTGGAAAACAATTGACCTCTCGATTACAGAAAATCTGGGAACGTCGCGGACAAACGATTTCGTCTATCATTATATCGACATAAACGAATATTAGATTGTCCTGTTACATCAAATCATACAAAATGGACGGATTTGTATAAATATAATGAATCGATCTTAGTCGATAGATATTGATGGTAAACGTGAATTTTAAAGACAACTACTACAAAATGGACGGATTTGTATAAATATAACGAGTCGATCTGTGTCGATCAGATATTGATTGAAAACGTTAATTTTGAAGAGTGATAATTCAGAAAAGACGCAGAGAGAACGGTCTTTCAATTCTTCGGAGATTCTAAGACCTAATCTGCGGTGGGTCTTTGAGCACGGAGGAGGAGCTCCGTGTGTGACTATCGATAAAATCAGGGACGTGTTTCTCTATTGTATCGGTGCAAGTGCGTCTTAACAGGGCCGAGAGAGAGAGAGAGAGAGAGGTAGAGAAATCGCTTGAAGAATCGATCGGCGGCACCGAGAAAATCCCGTGTTTATAAAGTTACGATGCGCAGTCGATGCTGCTGACGTTCATAATCTTGGCGGTGTAACTCGGAGAGGAACGTACGTGTACGTACGTACGAACGAGATGTGCGATGTAGAAGAAGGTTAAGACGATCTCCTCGTCGGATCTTTTAGCGGCGCTGTCCTCACGGCTGGTTGAGTCAGCAAGCGACGACACCGTCGCAGGTGAAAACTGCTGAGAACAAGCCTCCGCTCGTCGCTGCCGGTGGATGGATGCAGGTGCCGTAAGAAGGCTCGCGCGAAGATGAAGGGGTTCGTAATGACTTCCTCTTTCGCCGCCACTCACAAAGGAAGACCCTCGTTCCGCGTTCGCCACGCGGCAGAAAAATTTCAGATTGAAATAACTCCCGCTTTTGCCGGCTTAACTCTCTCTTTCTCTCGCCTAGAAGTAAATTGCCACCGGGAGAGGGCGAAAGTGCTGGTAAACGGCCAATAATTTTTCGTTTAACCGTTTCCACGCGAGTGGTAATATCCCCTTTACACTTTTCCCTCTAGTTTCTGTCATTGGAACGAAGCTTTCCGCGTTACGAAGCAACGACAGACGATTTTATAGACTCGAAGACGCGTCTATAAAATAATTTTATAGACTCAAAGTACTCCCTTTTTTTTTTTTTTTTCTTTTCGTAGTATGTAGTTGAAGGTAATAAGGATTCTCGTTTAACCTACGCAAAGAAACAATTACAAACATCGTCCGCCAGACATTCTCGAATCGCTTAAACACGCTGTCTCGACAATGTCCAAAATAATATCCACCGTCGGTGCAAAAAGTCGGTCGTGTCCCCTCCTTCCGATAGTTGAAATAACACGTTCGAAATCGCAAGCATCCCCGACACTCCGTACATTCGCTCGAGCCGTTAGGAAGTTAGAAACGAGCCACGGCCACGACGGCCGTGGGGGGATGGCGGCACGAGATACATTCAGCCGGGTCGGAGCTAAAGTTCGTCGTAATCATTAGCGGAATCCCGCCACAAATACGGAAATGATCTTCTCAACGTGAATGGACCAAGACGCCTGCGATGCCGCGAATACTGGCACGACAGCCTGAGGTCAGGATTATTATCGTTACCGGTGATGGGAAGCTCGTCGGGACGTTTCTTAGGGGTTCCAGCAGAGACCCACCCTCTCGAGTCCTTCGGGGAAACCGTTTGCCCTGGCGTCTTCTTCTCCCTCGACCAAACTTCCCTCTCTCTCTCTCTCTCTCTCTCTCTCTCTCTCTCTCTCTCTCTCTCTCTCTCTCTATCTATCTATCTCTGTTCTTCATCTTCTTCCTCTGTTCTTCTCTAGCCGCGTTTCATTCCCATTTCATTCTCTCTATTTGTGTGTTTTGTGGGTGGTACAGACAGTCGCTCGACGCGAGGTTATTATATCGTTAAACCATTTAATTATCTCGGCAAACTACTCTCCAGGAATATTCGGCTCGGCCTTAACGAGTGTACCACGGTTTGCAGAGAGTGGTGGCGTTGGTGGTGGTGCACTTTCCGCTGCTTCCCCTCGTCTTCCTCTCTTCCGCCGGGAATTTCCTTGCTTTCGCTCCCTTTCTCTCTCTCTTTCTCTCTCCTCTTCTTCTTCTTCCGCTTCTTCGACGTCTCTCTCTCTCTCCCTCTAGAGCGTCTTTATTCCAGCAACGCGATGTACCGAGCGTTAAAACGCCTCGTTGCTGCCACGGCGCGGCTCTACAATTTGTCTGGCAGCTGAAACTCGACCGACACCATCCCCCCGATTCGGGCCAACTAACGAGGAAACTACCGGGCGCGAGGGAGTACGTTTATGGTTTCGTCGAAACTTTTCTCCTTCCTTTTACCATTCTCTGTTCCTCTCCTTTTCTCCCGCGCTGGTGTCGCGCTGGCTCTTCGTCGCGCCCGGTTGAGAACGGCTGCATAAGTCCCGACACTTGTTTCGTACTTTCGGATTTACCACTCTCGGGCAGCGAGAGAAACCAAGGGTTATTTAAACGCGACCCCCCCGTGGAAGTTTGCCCCCGTGATTTGTATGCTCTCTGCCTCGCGGAAAGTTGTGTTCCGCGTAACGAATGCCGAACAGGACTCACCGAAATAAGCGAAGAAAATTAAATTACGATCGATGACTTTCTGTTCTGTTTCTTTTTTTTTTCTCTTACTTTCTCGTTCGTTCGTTCGTTTGTTCGTTCGTTCGTTTGTTTGTTTGTCCCTCGCTTTGCGTCTGGACAAAGGACGCGTTTCCCATCGATTCGTTTTGCATTGCGCAATCGACGCAAAAGCGTGACGGGGGTTACAGATCGAACGATCTTTAACCCCCCCCCGATTACGCCGGCGCTTGTTCATTTATTCGATATCGAGTACGAGCGAATCGCGAGTGGTGTGTTTGCTCGATGATTAGCAGAGATAAAAATAGTTGACGTGAGGCGTGTTTCATCATTGTTCAATGATGTCATCGGAGCTGTACAATCTCTCGTCAGTTATCTAAACGACGTGTTTATCGGCTGTGTTCAGATTAGATTTCCGGATCGGTGGATCGGGACGTTATCTCGAAATCTCGGTACACTTGTCAATTACTGGTAATCGCCGTGCCGAACAGAAAAAAATTTACCTTTGAAGCTTGTCGTTTGACGTTCGAAATAAATCGGTCTCGCGATTCTGTCCTCTGCGATTGATCGAGATATAAACAAAACAAAAAAAAAAAAAAAAATGACGATTGTACGTTTTATCCGATCTTTTATCGAATTCCTGTTGATTCACGTTGAACGCTGCAACTTTCTGAAAATATTGGGATTATTATAATTTTGTAAAAAAGAAATCATAATAATGAAGCTTAAAGTTTTCACTTTCAAAATATATTGTTCATTTTATTCCAAACAAATGTGTAGTTTTATGTCGGATGAGTATGGAGATTGTCATCTGGAAATAGGAAAATTTTTATCATGTCTGAATCTACAATGGATTTGAAGTCTCTCTTCTTTACAACAACCTCCAAGAACTTGTATTTTTCGTCATTTTATTGAACTTTGAATGTCAGGCTGAGATGGCAAAAATTTTCGTCTGATAACTTTCGACTCAAAGTTCAATAAATTGGCGAAAGAGGATCAGTCTTCAAATTCAGTCAGGAAAATAATTGTCCACTGTTTTCACGTACTATGGTAATTTATACTGGTGCATTACCTCCACTCTCTCATGCAGTGGAGGGGGTAGCGCTAACGATCAGAAAAGTGGGGGGCAAAAGCCGCCAGTTAGCCGTCTCTGATTTACACAGCATTTTCAACCGAGAAAAGTGTTTTCACTTCGCCATCTGTTACATAGCATACGTAATAAACATTACAAAAAACGAAAGATGTATTTTGAAAGTACAGACTTGAAGCTTCAAGTTCGCTATTGTTTCCTTTTACGAAATTATAAGAATTTCAATAGTGATAGAATTCACAAATATGGATATTCTCTTCACAAACATGAATTCATGTTATAAATTTAGGTTATTACCCAAGATTATTCGTATGAATATGTTAGTGTAAAATAAAACGCACAGGAAACTCCCGTGTACAATGTATAATAAACTAAATAAAAAAAGAAAAAATGCAAGGATAAAACTGCGACGACAATGTCAAGTGCTCTTGGCGACTCTCGGCTTTCAACTGATTAAAAAACCCAAAATTAAAAGGAAGCTCTTGTTGGCACCGTCTATTGCTTCTCCACAAAACACCAGCCCAGAAAACATATAAACGCATCGGCCGTCAATGCTCGGCACATCTGGCATCATCGTTGCGTTCCAACAATTCATAATAACTGTTTGTCCAAATGTTACAAAAGTCAATTTTCTCGTTTCTTGTAGCAACAGAGGCCGGACCTGCCGAGGCTGCTCCAGCAGGTGCACGCCCAACAGCTACCCCCGGGTACCGCGATGGGCCCACACCCGGGCATACCTGCGCTTCCTGGACTTGGTCCCGGAGCGGGACTTCCTGTTCCTACATCAGCCTCCGCGGCGCTTCTCGGTTTGGGTATTCCACCTGCAGCGGCCGCTGGTGGCACAGCCGCTCACCCTCTCTCGATGTTGACGAAACCGGATTTGCATCGGGGCCAGCCTGACGACTTGAAACATAACGGAGGTAAACCTCTCACCAAACGTGTCACTTAGGTGAAATTTATGCGACACCCTCTAAACACGATCGACAACAATGTCGAGGGTAGTTTAAGAGTTTGCGGAAATATTTGCATTTCCGTGACTTTGTAATTTTTTCTTTTCCTTTCTTTTTCTTCTCTCTCTCTCTCTCTCTCTCTCTCTCTCTCTCTCTCTCTCTCTCAGAGGGAGGGATCAAATGGGCTCCAATTAAACGGAACCTTTTGAAATTTCTGCCGGGAGTTGGCTGAAAATTAAGAGGTCGAATGAAATTATTCGGGGTTTATTGTAGCGAGTTGTACGAGATTTCAGCCGGACGGTAGTGAAATTGGATTTTTTAAAATAATTGAGTTTAATCTCGTTGGGAATCAGTTGGAAAGTCGGAAGTTGAAACGATGCTGGGTTTATTGGATGGTTAACAGTTTAACAATACGAGTTAATAAATATTCCTGCGTTTTAATCTACTTTCTCTCGAACGTCGCGCGATTGGCCGTATTTTAACTAAATTAAACCGGAGATGTTGATCAATTTGATCAGCGTTGAATTCGATCAGCTTTCCAATAAAAATCAATTATCAATTAGCTGTTTTTCTTCGTTTTCGCAACGGTGTCATTCAGCTAGTAAAAAAAAAAAAAAAAGAACGGCTAGATAGTTTATTTAGAAATTCTGGCCGTGAAACGCGTGATCAAAGTGTGTAATTAGAATGATTCGCAATTTACATTCCGCTCGAAGGGGAGAATAATGGAGAGGAGCGAGTTGAACGTTGCGAGATCGATCTTTTTGTACGTCATTTCATCATCCGTGCTTCGCGCAGGTGATAGATGTATCCGTAATTAAGCGTGCACCTCATTAAGGTCTGTGAAATTGCAATCGCCTCTTTTTTTTCTCTCTTTTTTTTCTCTCCGGCGTCACGTTGCGCGTGAAAGACATAATCAAGCCGTCGAACTTGGAAAATTTAATCGAGGAGCATTGTACGATCGCACAATGATACGTCCAATTGCGGCAAGTTCGACTTTGTCCCCATGCTGAAACCGCCGTGACGAAGAATTACGTAACAATTGAAAACTAAAGTCGTTGGTAATGAAACCCGTCTGAAAGAGTAATTTAACGAAGATTAAGTTGTCTTCCCTCTTCTTCTCTCTCATTTTCTTTTTGTCACCCTCAAAACGAAAGTGCAAACTGCCCTCCGTTGCATGACCGATCCCATGAAACCGTTTCGCAACGGTACGAAAAACGATCAACTCCTTGACAAAACTAATCTGCAGTTGCTCAATTTTTTTCTCATCGGTTCCGTACATATCTAGTTCAATCATTTGCCCGTGCCACGCGAATGTTAGCAGGAGGCAAACAGCGATACCCGACCGATAGCAAAGTGTTTCACAAGACGATACGATACGTTCTCGGTTATTCGGTTTTCTGCTTTAATCTCATTTCTGTCGAAGTGGGAAACAATTGACCGACAGCGAGATCGTCGACGTATTTCGTGATTTTTCTTCTTCGTTCGATTAACGAGAGGTGAATTCTTCATTCGTTGTATGTAAAATACTATCGTCTGTAACTCGATAAAAATGCTATCTTTTTTAGATTGCTATCTAGAACCAATTTTTTATTTATGTCCTTGCATAAGTGACGTACGTGCGAATCCTGTTTATTTGTTTATTTTCAAACCAAGTTTTCTTGCATGATAATTTGTCAGTTAATAATATTAGTAAATTCACAAATTAATGTAGCTATAATTCTATAATTTCAATTTCAACCAATACAGTCAACAGACTTTATAAAATTCTCCCAATTCGTTACCAAGTTTTATATTATAATACGAGGAGAGCTGTATATACTATCTCTAATAACATACCATTCGTGATCTATAAAATTTGTCATTTAATAATACCAGTAAATTGACAAGTGATACGAGCTTGTTATCTCTAATAACATGCCACTCGTGATCTATAAAATTTGTCAGTTAATAACACCGGTAAATTGACAAATTCAATCTCAACTAATACAGTCGACCGATTTGATAAAACTCTTCCGTTTTGTTCCCCAAGTTTCACGTTATAACGACTTCTGTAAAAACATCAATTCAATCGTGCGAAAAGAAGCTAAATCGAAGATCCGGTTCCAGTCCGTCAAGCGAAAGTTTGCCGTATCGCACGACAAAGTAGAATATGCCACCTGTTCGGACATGCAGAAGTAAGCAGAAGATTCCCGGCGTGGAGAGGTATCGCGACACCAAGCTAGAGGGATTGCATTGTTCTTTTCTCTTGCGAGGGGGGATTCGATTTACAAAAGCCGCTGACCTCTGTGTCTCGAGGTGTTTTCGCGTGGATCAGCATCTCTCGATCCCGTCGCGGTTATTTTGCGCACATATCGAACGCGAACCGGCAGTCGGATTCGAAGAAATATTGCACGTTCGATCGCGTTTCCTGCAACCGTGCCCTCTTGTTTTTCTACCTGGCTTTATCTTTGCCAAGCTTGTCGCTATGGGAAGCGCGAGCGTTTGCAACCGGATCCTCATGAGACGATTCCCGCGCGTCCGTCTGCATTCCGCTCGGTTCCTCGCCAACTGCTCGTTTTGCAAGCTCTCTTCGGTTACCGCGAAGTCCAACAACGAAATCGCCGGATAAGCGTCTCGATAGGAGGCCGTTTCCTTTTCGCGTCGAGTGACTGCTAACTACTACCGTCGGGGAATTGATAATAAATAAATACGAAGTCTGAGAGTTCGAGAGATGGTTTGTACATTCGTGCGAAATTTAAAGATGCAAGAATGCTCGAAATACCTCGACTGAAAATTCGGCGAATGAAACAAATTTTTATTGAACTTCTTAATTCTCGAGAATGTTTTTGAGTTCTCTCTTGTAGAAAATTAATAATAAAATTAGATTTAGTGAAAAATTCCGAGATCAAGCAGCGTAAAATTTGAACTTTTTAACAGAATTTTAGCAAACCAAGTATGTTTCAGTAACAACTGTTTAAGATGCTAAAATACTCAGAGAAAGAAAGAAAAAAAAAGATGCAAAAAAAATTGCCAAAAAAAAGTTGAATGGGAAACAGTCGGTTTTTGTCAAATATCGAACACGATATCCCTCGATTGAAGAGTTTACGAATTGAAACGCTGTCGAGCATTTGAATCTTTCAGTTTCGATACGTTTTTTTTTTTTTTTCGCGCGATTGTCGAATGACTGATCCACGCTCGGACGATGACTTCTTGCGGTTGACAGTTATTTTCCAACGTGTTATTCATCGATGCGTGTTCACTTCCTGCCTCGAAGCGTGAATTCGTACGAAGCCTAACTGGCTCGGTAAGCGAAGGCTCGGATTATTTAACATACATGCATATTTAACTGCTACTCTGCTCTCGCAGGAAGGCAGTGTTTCACGTTTGCAGTTTGTACTTGCTAAAGTTGTCAAATTTATTCATTCGTTGTCGAAAATGAATTTTATTATTTATTGTTTATTTCATACGTATCGAATTGCGCAAACGTGCATAATTATTAAAAAAAAAAAAAAGAAAAAAAAAGAATGGAATTTACGAATTTATGAAAGCGCTTAATGGAATAAATCGTAGTGAGGGGAAATCAAAGTTCATTCAACCGAACGCCGTTGATGGTACCGGGTATCAAGAAAATTGATAGTAACGCGATACAAGGGGGTGCCTGGGAGCCAGGGAAGAGGGAGAATGGCAGTGCAAACGCAGAACAGAGAGAGAGAGAGAGAGAGAGAGAGCGTGTGTGTGTGTGTATGTGTGTATAGCGTGTGACACGGGGATATTTCAAGCGGGCCGCAATACAACGGTGACGCAAACGATCGTGCTTAAGCCTGAAACTCGCAGAACCCTCGATCTTGACCTCGAAGATCCACTTGTGCACCGGCACGTCCTCGTCCCTCTCCTTGGGACGACACACGAGTGCAAGAACGTTCGCACTTAGGCTCCATGTAGCGCTGACAAAGTCGCGAGGGCTTCAAGTGACTCTCCTATCTCGCACACATTCCCCTTCGAACCTACACACACATACACACACACACATACACACGACCATACGTACACATACACAGTTACACGTACGTACACGTTTATGCAGAGGCTGGTCTGGTTCCATCTCGCCCCCATCCTCCGCATTTCGTCGAACCTCGTCACTCTATTTCTCTCGCTCTTGCCGTCCTTCCGTGCAACGCGTCTCTCCTCTCCTCTTCGTCGGCTCTCTTACTCGCGCGCTGTGGATGGTCGTCTCTCGGAAGAGCACTCAGAATCTCCTCTTGACACAAGAGTACTTCCGACTCTTCCCCTCTGTCGTTCCATCCGCCTCTAGGTGGCTCTTCTAAACCTTCGCGCCCCTCAGCCTGTTCCTCTCATCCTCTTCTCCTTCGTGCCCTCCTCCGAGCCCTTTTCGCCCTCCTCTCCTCTCTCCTCTCTCCTCTCTCGTCGTCATTCTCCACTTCTGTCCGTTTCCTCCTTGCGCTCTCTCTCTCTTTCTCTCGGTTTCTCTCTTTTCGTCTCTCGCGCCCTCTTTCCTCGCCGCGTTCCACTTGCTCTCCACTACACCGAGCCGAGTAGTAGTTGCCGTGCTCGCGCAATATCTCCCAGCTACACTCTCGCCTAACTATGTTACCGCGGGCCGGAGTATAACCTCCGGCCAGTTGTTCCAAGTTGTTTCGCGTTTTCCGAGCGTTGTCAGCTCCCCTCCGTAATGAAATACCGACCGATCTCTCAGCGCTACCGTCAGCCACCTTGGCTGACGTTTTTTCTCGCTCGATTCGCGACCATTCTACCACCGAGACAAACCTTCGATATCACCTCCCAGAGGTTACGTACCACGTTTGAAAATTGTCCAGCTATCGTTGTCGCGTACGTGTACTCGTGAACAACGTGAATCTCGATAGAGGTTTTCTTTTTTTTTACGAGTTTTCGCTCTTGGAAACGGTGCAGGCTTAACCCCTTGCGCTGGCAATTAGTTCGCGGACCATAACGAGTGACCGAACCGGTCATAC